ACTTGCAACCCGTATCTGTTCTTATTGAGGGTGTGCTTCTGTGGTAGCTGTGTATATGCTTTTTATTATTTTTCTTTTTTTTCTTTCTCTCTTTTTATGTATTTATATATGAATTATTAACTTTAACGTTTTAATTTATTTTTAACTTACTTTGTTGTTATTCTTCTTCTTCTTATCTATCCTCTCTGGAATTTTTCATCAACAAAAATGGAGTTTTCACGAGCAACTTTGAATTGATCTCTGCCTCAAAACAAAATGTCAGTTTTTCTTGCATGAGGATGTTATGCCAAGAAATGCTCCTTCTTTATTACAACAACGGCTACGAGACATATGCCACCGACAGTTCCGTCGGACATAATGTATCTGGCTTCAAGGTTGTCAAACATCTATCTAAAACAGTACATAGAGTCAAAGTGGCGGAGGAACTTTCCTCGACTTTTATTGAGTTGCTTGCCATCAGACATGCTATTAAGGTGGCTATTACTGATGGTAGCAAGAGAATTGTTATTTTTTCGGTTAGAAAGCCAGCTCTACTTCCAACAAATAAAAGAGATGCAGAAAATCAATATGTGTTGTTTGATCTTTTCACGGAGTTCCTTTTCTCGTTAGCGTTCTTATTGCACATTTCTCCTGTCTATTTTTTAGGTTTTTTTTTGCTTTTAATCTTTAACAGAGATTTGGTGGTAGAAAATATTGAATGCCTTTCATACTTTATACATTTACAGAGATTTGGCGTTAATCTTCAATGTTTAACAGAGATTTTGGGTTTCTTTTTCAAAGCTTAACAGAAAACTATTCATTAGTTGTCATTTACATGGTACTTTCTTTTATAAACTTTGTAGAGGAAAAAAGATCAGCTAACGGCTTTTAGCGAGGACCCATTTTACAAGTGCGCAAAGAAGTTGGACAAAGTGAAATACTAAATGAAATTTTATATTGTATTAAAACTTAGTATTGTGTTAAATAAATTAAATAAATTATGTACAGAAATCGTAAGAAAGTGTATAAAAGACGAACCGACAAAAATATAAAGAAATTGTAAGAAATTAACAGTAACTACATTTACTGCCTGCATCTATTATTATTATTATTATAATTATCATTATAATATTAGACTAATGAAATAAATTCTTAGACTAAAAAAAAGACATTGAGCACTAGCAGCACAGGCTATCGGCTCTAATATAAATAAATGTACATTAGATAATGAGCTTAGTAGTATTAATAAAGTAATATATTGAATTTATATTCGGTTCTGAAGGTCAGTTTAGAATGTCAAAAGGGTTAATCGCTCCAAAAACAAGGAAAACTTAAGGCAGTTGCAGAGAATGTGCTTTATAGTTAGAGTTTTTCGCCTGCATCTATATTTTATGCATTGACAAGGAGACTCATCTAAGATTCGTATAGTTTCTCTGGAAATCTCGTTGGTATCTCCTTAGTTCCTAGCTCTTCCGTGTATTAGAAAAAATGATTTTTAGTCAGTTTACAGATCAAAATAGGTATTCATTTGAGCTTACAACGAAAATGAATATGTTTTTAAAGCAATCTTGGCATGCCAAAAAAATGTCGGGAGCAGAATCAAGTCGTATGAGATCTTTTGTAATCAAGTACGTTTAAAATTAAACAAGAGTTCGCTATCAATTTTAAGAAAATTTACGTTAAAACATTACAACAAATAACATTGTAAATGTTCACATGGCAGACCAACTATGAGACTGCAATAACAAGTATGTGCCACCATATTAATACAAAAATTTTTCATTTCATTTATATGATAATCGGCATTATTTCCTTTTCATATATGCTATATAACAAATATATACAGATTTGTTTATATATATATAATAAAAGCAACTGTTAAAAATTAGTAAGAAAACATTGTGTTGCGTCCAAATTATTGTTAAAAAAACTCAAATTTGAAGAGTTACAATTTGGTTAAAAAGGCAAAGTTATTACATTATGGCGGCAAACGTACTTGTTGTTAGCCTATTTGAATAACTGCTGCTCCATTTTTGTGCAAATTTTATATTTATAGGCTGTTTCAATTCAATAGGTGGTTCAATTTCTATATGAATTTTTTTTTTTTTCGTTTATCATTCTTTGCGCACAAACTTCAAACTATCAAACCTTTGACGGCTGGAGGGCAGTTTTCAATGTTCTATGTTAAATGTTTATGCAAAACAATCATCAGTAAAGCAAACATAAAGAGGCGAAGCAGCTGAAAAGGATGGATGTGCTTTTCTGCTTCTTTCGGCAGTGGCTTACGTGAATGCTACGCGTTTTCAATGATGTTTTGACGACAATTATAAAATTCACACGATGTTTATCTATTGGCCGTGATTGTTAAGTACGGATATGTTCCATAGTTTGTTTTTTTTGCCTTCTACAAATGTGTATAAAATACCTTAGTTTTATAAGTGGGTTGGTCAATATGTATTTTTTGTTGGTTCTGTTCACGTGAATAGATTGCTCAATTTCCCTTCTGTGTGTCGATGCGCGTGCGTAATGTTTTGCAAATATGTTTGCATCAACCGTGTAGCAGATAATACCACAACGTCTTGATTTCAATTATCATACTATTATCATTTAGTATAAGTTACACTAGAGATAATTGCAATTTATTTTATTAAACGTGAAAGTGTCGATCGGGATCATTCTTGCTTGGAAGACAAAGAACATTTTAAGGTCAATATATATCATGGGTTGTAAGATATGGGTTTTTGATTATTGTGGACGGACCACGCTGTTTGGGCATCCTTCATTATGAAGGTCTTCCTGAAATGGTGTACCCTTCTTTTTTTGTCTGGTTTTAAAATACAGTAAAAGTTCCTTATTCGCGTATGCCGCGACATACTAAAAAAAAATCAATTTAATTGATTGCGAATGTGCATTTCGTTTTTCCCTCTTTAGGCAATTTGTTATTTGGGGAAATTACTTAGCTGAAATGAAATTTGGGATTTGGGATTTTCGCAACAATACTTTATTCATTGAGTAATAAGGTTGCTTTCATTCTGTTTACGAATAAAGAAATTTATAGCCGCGAATATGGGAATTGGTCGCATTTTTTTCATCCGCGAATAGTAAAACGGCGAATAACGGAAGCGCGAATAAGGAACTTTCACTGTATACAGTTAGCATCTATAACGAAACGAATGTTTTTGACGAAAAACTTTTAAATTCATCGGAAATAAGTGAAATTTCAAGACGCGATATAGAAGTGTAGGCAGATGTTGTTGTACTGCTTAGCGTTATATTATTAGTGTTCTGAGGTAGACGTTGGTATCGTTTATGCATCCTAATATAAATTTAACGACATTGCCAATTAGCATTTTCTTCTTTAGCATAACGTAAAATTTATATTCAATTTTTTCGAATTGATGAAAGTCTTTAGCTTTGAAGCGAACTTTTAGAGGTTGATGATAGCTTCAAAGAGTTCCTGCGAAAACAGAACAGTTTTGTAGAGTTGATGAAAACTCTACAAGGCAGCACATCCTATGTTGAAATAAAAAAAACAAGGAATTCTAAAGGCGGAGCTGATAACAGAGGTAACATTTAGTGTGTAAGATTTAGTACGCAATTTAAGTTATTAATTTTAAATTTGAAATTTTCATCATGTAAAAATGTAAAATTACAAATTTAAATAAATTATAAATTAAAAAAGTAAAATTAAAGGTTTTATATTAATCATTACAATATCTGATATATACATTTGTATGGCATATATTCCGGAATTAATTTTTTACAGAATTTAAAAAAAATACTCTTATGATACGGGGTACTGTCAACAAACAAAATTGTGGGGCGACATACGTGACGAACTTAGCTTGGAAATTAACATTACAGTTTTCGCATACACAGTTGGTAAAAAGCTGGACGCGCTAATGACTAAATTGATGGCAGTAAACAATAGACAGAGCACCGTTCGTACATCACTTTGGATGTGGCAGTACGCCAAAAAACTGGGATTGGTGCGCGCGGACCAAGTAACAGCATACGGGACAATACAAACAGTGACAACCCATGGCGGCAAGAGCGACACTGATGACCAATTTTTAGGATTGCACGAAACAGACGAGGTAGGTAGAAAATTATTATTAGGTAGGATACAAGCAAAAAAACTTCTGGAGTAAGTGAGAGATACCATAGAGTGGGTGAGAAAAAGGGACTGAAGTGTATGCAGGTGATAGGATAGAGGGTGAAAAGGAAGGAACGGAAGTTCAAGAGGGGGATAGGATAGAGGGGACAGAAGAATTGATGGAGATACCATATATAGAGGATAGGCTAGAAGTAGAAAGCCCCACTAATTTTAGGAGCGAAATTTATCCGTCTGCACAAATCGACATCGGCGCAGGCAGCTCTTTTGGATGAAAATCGGCGCCTCGAGGCGAAAGTGGAAACCTTGCGGACGGAATTTCATAGAGCAAAGGATCAACGGCCAGAAATAGCAGATGAAGCTGATAGCACCAAAGGAATTAATTTATTCATTTCTTTTTATTTTATTGTAGATTAAATAGCAAGCATACGGCTCTACTCATCGCTTCAATAGAAAGCGATATTTCTGGAGGCCAACGGTAAGTTCGTGACCATCATTTGCAGGAAAATTCGATAATCACTGAATTGTTCCATTATACATTGCTAAGCAGTAAACTGTCATATATTTATCTTTTCTTATGTATGTCTAATTATGCGCATTTATATTATATATTGTATTATATTTTTATAATTATGTTAATATATGTTTTACAAATAGATAAATATGTATGTATCTCTCACAAATGTGTACGTATATTGTAAATATTATTATAATTTTAAGTTAAATTAACGGGATAGGCCTACATTAATGCCAACCATATAAAACAATTGGCAACGCGCCTATCACGCTACCTCAAGGGTGGTGTGCAAAAAAATGATGATGAGTTTTAACTAAGGCGCTTCAAACAGCTTGGAAGCGTGCAATAACCTGAATGTGTACAGCTGACGTCGTTCATACATTTACAATTCAAGATTGACCCAAGGTAAGAATAATCTCGGTAGTCCAATCCTAAAGAAAATACTGAATGAAAAGGCAGAAAATGAGGTGATATAGAAATCATATGTAAATATATATAAAGTATAGAATAGGAGATTACTTCAAACCTCACTTACAAAGGTAAGAGCGCCTGAAACCAATTAAAAAACTCTGGCACAATATTAATGAATATTTTTGGTTCTCATATTTTTTAGTGCGAGTACATTGTATGGCGGTTTAAATCAATCGACGTGATTTGCAATCATCGTATTTCCCACATTCACCGATGCTTAGCTTAATTCCGTGGGTAGTCTGTTGAACCTACTAACTACCTGGGCAGTGTGGTTAAACAACCAGTTACCGATAATATGCCAACGGAGGAAAATCACAATTCTTCTTCGGAAATTTTGATTTAGATACAATAGAAATAAAAACCTTCGAAACTGACACTGATACGGATAAAAACATTGGGATGAATAGTTGTAATAATGAATTGCGGAAACCCCTAAATACTGTACACATCGAGGCTGCTATAAATCGCAGAGCACTTGCATTGCTCTATTGCGAAGTTGGATTTCTTACTACATTATCTACCATAAAAACATGCGACATGGAGAAGTGGTTTACATCGCTGGAACAGACATGTTGTTTGGAGGTTCCTTAGGTGCACTTTCCATTTCTATTTTTCTCAAAACTTAAGGTTCCACATCATCCCAATCATTTGATTCAACTGGCGGCCATGTGTTGCCAAAGAATGTTTGTTTTCAAGCGCCAAAGTCCGGCAACCAGTTGTGGGCACGCCTTTCCAAAGAGGCAACGATAAAGTTTCTAATGGTTCACATCAGAAGCCTCCACACAGGGTTAAAGTTCGAATTTCCGGCCTGAGCGGTGTTAGACCTAAAATTGCTAAAAAACTTATATTGCCTGGAGTGTCTGCAGTCAAATTGTAACTGAGGAATATTTCGGCGCTCAATTATTAAAGTAGTAACAAAGGAAGAAGCTCCCCATCGTAATGTACTCCTGTTTAATCCGGAAACATACTGTGAGTTTGTTGGAACTGTGGATGTTAACTAAACCTTGGATTTAGTAATTGTTCAACCAATCTTGCATAGAAAACTTCATCATATAAAAAGATAACTTGATAGATTGGGAAGGCGCTTATATGCAATACAAGAGCGATTTACGTATATTGAAACTAGAAAGCCCCCAAGAGCAATTTAACAATTAACTTGGCTGCTCAGCATTTGTCCGAGGTACCATTAGGTTTTACAGTCAAACTCTAACTAGAGATTAAACAACTTAAGGAACGTTTACATAACGCGGAGCGTGAAATAAAAGAGAAAAACTTTATCAATAGCAAAAAATCAACACCACAACCTAATGAAATCCGTAAATGAGTATACACAGATTGCTTTATCTCAAAAATCGAAAACATTCATATAAGTACATAAAAGATTAAGATTCTATTAATGATGTAATCGTAGGCGACGACAAAAGAAATGTATTTTATAGATAACACGCTCTAGCAACATTTTTTTCGTTGCAAACGTGCCAATCAATTCAAAATATTCAGATTAAATAAAATATAGAGAATGAGGAAAAGAGGCAAAGGTGGGGATTGAAGGTGTGAAGGAGATGAAATGAGATTAAAATATAGAAAATTTATATAATAAATAGAATGCACTGCATTTTTTCTCGGATGTACAACGTACAATAAATTTTTCTTCGAAAATTATAAAAAGGAACAAAAAATCCATACGGAATGTGAATGTATATACAACAATAATAATAACATTAAATCAAGTTAATTAGAGGAGCAATGCTACCTTAAAATTAATCGGCTTTGGGTTTTAAATCATTTAAGCAAGGTTGTAGGAATTCTTCTACAATAGCTTCCACCATACGATCTAATGTAGCGCGTAACTTGCCCCAATCTTTTTCTTCTGGCTTTGCACATAATTCGGCATAGTATTTAATTTTCGGTTCAGTTCCACTTGTACGCAGTGTTATCACTAAACCATTCTCAAAATTGAAAGTGATCATTTGACTACTTGAGCTAACTGGTAAGATAGCTAGACCGTGAGGTTGGGCTGTATCTATACCCGTGGTTAAATCACGAATGTTCTTTATGCGAAACTCTCCGTTTAGTATCGACGATGGATATGTACCGGGTTGTCCATTTTGAAAGTTACGCAGGCGATCAAATATACGTTTAATAATCTCTGGTTGATCACAAAATAAATAGGAGCAATTTGTGCAATGATAGCCATATTTTTGATAAATTTGTTGCAATTTGTTGGTTAAAGTAAGACCTTCGGTAGAACGAAGATAACAAGCCATGGTAGCCAAATGAGTCGCAGCACTAATACCATCCTTATCGAGAACGGCTGTAGAAAACATGAAACCTATTGCTTCTTCAAAAGCAAATAGAACATGTTTATCTTGTTGCATTAACTCAATGGCACGATTACCCATCCACTTGAAACCCGTCAAAGTCTCTATAAAGTTGAAACTTTCTCTATGGGCCATGGCTCGAAGTATTTTTGAGCTCACAGTGCTGGCAAGTAAATAGCATTCGCCCATATCAACGTCAGGATGTAAAGCTTTATAATTTTCTATTGACCACCAACCCAGCAATGTGCCTAATTCATTGCCGTTAAAAACCTTCAAGCGAAATTTGATAAAAATAGTTTTACGGCAAAATGGTTTACTACCGAGAAATCATACCTTCCATACACCTGTCTCATTATCCTTTTCAGCATAAGCAAGGCGATCTGCATCAGGATCGTTAGCTAATATCATATTGATGTTTTCCTCTTCCGCTTTTTTTATAGATAATTGCAACGAACTCTTTCCTTCCTCGGGATTCGGAAATTTCACAGTAGGAAATTCAGGGTCAGCTTCCTTCTGCTCTTCAACTGGTACTAGGTTAGGCAAGTGGGCTATTTGGAACGCTTGCTTTACAAAAGGCCAACCTACTCCATGCATTGCTGTGTAGACAAATCTTATGTTTTCTTGCTCTTTTTGCTGTTGATTAACATCCAAATATTTTTGCGGTATGTGAGTTTTAAGAGTTTCAAAGTATAATTCGCGCATTTCCTCGAAAGGGTCTTCTATCAATTCGGTCTGCGTTAAGATATCAGTTCGCCAAGAACTTGCTTTGGGTTCGAGATTATCTAAAATAGCCCTCTGTATATTCTTGTCATGGGGTGAGATAATCTGGGCACCATTGCCCCAATACACCTTGTAACCATTGTCTTCTTTGGGATTGTGGGAAGCAGTGACCATAACGCCGGCCAAGCAGTGTTTTTGTAAAATAGCAAAGGGTACAAACGGCGTGGCGACCATATGTCCATATAAGTAAACTTTAATTTTATTTTGCACAAATACCGTAGCAGATAATTCAGCGAAACGTTTACTGTTATAACGACCGTCGAAACCGAAAACTACACCTCGATTGTAGTCCTCTTCCTTATATTGTTCTTTAATATACTCACATAAACCCTGAGCAGTTTGTATTATAACTAAATCATTCATGGAATCAAATCCCGCTTGCATACAAGCCCTTAAGCCAGCTGTGCCAAAAGTTAAACGTTTCAACAAACGCTTGCTAAGTTTGGGGAAATCCTTTTTAGTCAACAATTCTTTAATTTCATTTAATGTTTGTGTATTGCGATCCCACTTCAACCACAAATCAATCTGCTCATCAAGATTACTGTCACCCGAATATATTGCCATTTTTTTTTTAAATTAGTTTTCAAGCTTCTATCACAGTCCCGTTTTCTTGCTACACATATATAGATTCCTTCGTATGCGCACAATCCTTTTCATGCAATTTTTTTGGCGTGATGATTTAGTCAACGTTTTTCGGATTAAATTTCGCTTGTACGTGGATACAGACTTTTTGATTTTTCTTTGTAATTGGTGTACGCTTCTTACGCTGTTTTCCGTACGAGCAAGGCAATTAGAATAGATTCTCTTTATTTTTGCAATCATTGCAATGCGCCCGCAGAAAATAAGTACATATATAAATTTCGCTCTCATTGTATGCATCGATAAAAAATCAGCTGGTTTTCAGAAACTTACTTAATTATCAGCTGCTCACAAATCCAATGCCCAGCGTTTCTCACATAATTATTTATCTGGCAAATCTCGTGCCGCCTGCTTTGAAGAAAATAACAAATAATAAAATCAAAATTGTTTAAAGAATTACTTGGTAAATCCTAAAAAACGATGTACTTGATCAAAACGGTTTCCGTTTGTAATTTCTATGTGAAAATCCAAGATTCTCAAAAAACTGATAAGAAAGCCAATTTTCGCTGTGTGTTAACTCCTTTAACAATAATAACCAAAATTTACGAGCAATAAATATTCAGATGGAGAAGCGGATTTTTTTCTACACACAAGCTTAATTACCAATTACGCTTTTAAATTTCTCGAGATGTAAACACAACTGACAACGCGATTTATGTTTTGCAAAAACGCCTCTGAAAAAGACAAAGCAATAATATGCTAAAAATGAATGAATTTTATTTTGTTTCGTGGAAGAAATATCATATGTTTCAAAAACTAAAATTATCTTGCAATATATCTAAGCAGTTTTTGTAGCATTGTCCGCGAGAACAAAACCAGCTTCACGATATAGCTCAACTGAAAAAAATTGATTTAATCACCTATAAGTAATAAAATAACCTATAAATCAAAACATCAAAAATTTAAGGAAAAACAATCATCAACTAATTCAATCTAACTAAAATTCTTTCGGCAACCCTGCATGAAACAAGACGCTTCTTGCAGAAAATTCTTGAAAAAAAAAAATTTTTTTTTTCAACAAAAAAGAAAAATTCTCTTTTTTCTTTCACAAACTTTTGCTTCTGAAAACTATTGAACTAGTGAAAATATATATAGTGAACTTGCGGCATTTAAACAAAATCAACAAAGGCTTCGACGTCCTTGTGCTTCTCCGCAGATTGCGCAGCATCACCTGCTGTCTTCAACCTCATCCTGACAAGACTCACTTCGTCAACTCACCTGTACATTGGACATCAAGTAGCGGCGATTCCTGTCAAATTCTTAATACTGCTTTAACTTACAAGGCTTTGTTCGCAGCCTAAAGATTGGTTTCAAGGGAAAACTAATTCCCAAGAGTATAAAATTCAACTATTGTAATATTCCAGTTGACTACTTCATTCCTTCTGTCAGGCTCTGCTATAATTGCGGCCGATTTGGCCACATCGCCAATTTCTGCAAAAGTAAGGAAAGCAGATGCCTGAACTGTGGCAAGTCACCGGCCTGTCCTACGAACTCATGCCTTTCAGTCAAATGTCTAGGTTGCGGGTCTCTGGACCACAACGTAACATTTCGAGAGTGTCCAAAAAGAAAGAAAGAGGAAAATTTAAAAAAAATTTTAACCATCCAGAACTTATCTTTTAGAGAATACAAAGAGAAATTCTCTAACAACAATTTACTCGAAAACTATGACGTAAACTTCCTAGCAATGAAGGACAGCAATGCTCCTAACAATATCAGAGACCCTACTATTGATACAAATAATATTTTAATTAACGAAAACTTCAATGCAGTTTTAAAAAATAACACGAGTATTCCCAAATCCTTGCATAGAATGTCTCTCAAGACGCCCTCGACTTACAGTAACAAGTCGCAGGAGCCAAAAAAACCTACCCCACCTCCTGAAAAGCATACTTTCATCAATTACCATAAATCCACTGAAATGGAGATAATTCTGGAAAAGATTTTCAAGATTCTCTCCATCTTCTTCTCAAGAAGATATGCTTAAAACCATCTAAACAGAAATAAGTTCCCTTAAATCAAAATTTGATCTTTTAAAACAAGGTACATCTGGGTCGGCCCTATCATGTTCTAACATTCCTCATGACGTCTTTCCTACAGTATAACATATAAAGCTTCAGGCGTAATGCCCATTCTCTTGATTTTTTCATAAATTCCAACCGAATTGATTTCGCCATCTTGAGTGAAATCCTTCTGTCCGATGAAAAAATTTCCGATCTCAATATCTCAAATTACAACTCTGCTTATAAATGTAGAAGTGACGGCTATGGAGGTGTTGCCATCCTTGACAGGAAAGGCATATCCTTCAAACAAATCCCATTTAAATCGACTGCGGACATTGTCATTATCAAAACCTCTTGTCTAAAACCTAATATCGTCATTGCTGCTTGCTATTTCAAGCCCAACATCCCTATTCAATCTTTCCGGGATGACTTTAATCGTCTCTGTGATATGCTCAATAGTTTCCACAATGTCATAATTGCAGGAGATTTCAATGCAAGACACCCTTGCTTTGGTGACTCCGTGTCAAACAATAAAGGCAAAGCCTTGCAAGAAATCATTAAAGCTAGTAACTTCTATTGTGTGAATGATTGTGGTAGTGTGTTGGATCTTACTTTCACTAACGCAACCCATCTCACATTCAAACGGGACGTTAAAAAAGAAATTTTCCTGGGAAACAGCCACCACCTTCCTATTCTCTTTAATGCCACCTCTATTACCTCGTACAAGATAAATGACTTTATCTCGAGGAAAAAACTTCTAAATAATCTTATTCACGTATGTCTTGAGCCACAGGTCGAGTCTATCCAGTGCTCATTTCAACAAGAAATAATTAACGCCAAATCCGACATCCAAATCTCGAATTCCTACTCACCAAAACCTTGGTGGAACGAGCTGCTCACTTCACAATTCCGTAGATTACAGGCTGCTAAACAAAAATTTTCCGAATACCCCAATATTTCTAGTTTTGAAGATTTCAAGTTATCCCACAAAGAAAGGAAGAAATCGATTAGAAAAGCCAAAAGATGCCACCGAGCCCTTGTTGTCAAAGAGCTATGCTCAAATAGCAATACAAAGCCATTCTGGAAATTTTTAAATGGTCATCGTACCACAAAAAAAAAAAACAAACACCCTATTTGGGATGATCTCAACAACAAATCCTACCTTGAATGGCTGAAAGCTCAAGTTCCCTCGACATGTGGTCTCCAAACCTCCTTACTTAACTCTCGGATGGAAAACATCTCTCCATTCTCCCTTGATGAACTCATGCGCGTCCTTAAGTCGAAAAAGAAGTCCACATCAGCAGGCCATGACGGAATCAAATATGAAATGATAAAGGTCCTTCCCATGCCAAGCCTTCTAACCCTGCTATCTGCTATAAATGAGCGCTGGATGACCAACTCGTTTCCCACTGTTTGGCGTACAATTAAAATAGTGCCCATTCCTAAAGCCGGAAAAGATCTTGAAACATTCACTAACTTCAGACCCATATCCCTCTTGCCTGTTCTTCTAAAAGTTACCAACCAAATGATTAAAGAAAGACTAACAAATTTCCTGAATCACACACCTTCTCCCGTCAAGGTCCTTTGCTTACCAAAAAAATATCTCCACCGGTATGTGCCTTAATGAAGTCCTTTTCACAATTGCAAACGAAAAAGCAAATGGAAACCAGGTAGTCATGCTTCGCTTAGACATTAATAAAGCTTACGACTGTGTAAATTTAGCGAAACTGGACCAAATTCTGTCTGATTTTAAAATCCCGACACAAAGTAGGCATTGGGTTCTCAACTTTCTTTCCTCGAGAACTCTCGTATTAGATTCATATACAGTCGAAGTTTGTAGAGGTTTACCTCAAGGTAGCTGTCTCAGCCCAGTTCTTTTCAATTTATACACAGCCGGTTTACATCAATTACAGGACAATTCTACCCATTTATTTCAATAAGCCGACGATTTCCTCATCATCTCTGCTGGAAAATCATTACTGGAAGCAGTCCGTAACCTCGACACTAAAGCCAATCTTTTTCACAAACTTTGTGCAGACTTAAATCTAACTTTCAACCCGCAAAAATCAAAAGTCATTCGCTTTGCTAAGGGTCCCAAAAAAATTTTTTACATAACAATCAATGGTATAAAAATCAGTCCGTCTTCCTCTTTAAAATTTTTGGGCAGAATAATCAACTCAAGTTTAACCACTCATGAGCATTACAAGGATAGCCTCGAAAATTGCAACACAGGTTCAAATGTCATCAAACTTCTGACCAACATTCACACCGGACTCCCACCTAGGAAAGCATTAAACGTTTACAAATCTATTGTTAGATCCAAAATTGAATATCCCTACATCGTGTAACGCTCCTGCGTATACATTAAAAAAAATACAAACCTTTCAACACTCAATCCTAAGACGTTGTACCGGTTTGTCCCCCTCAATACCAACATCAATTTTACGTTTCATCTCTTACGAACTCCCCGATGCTAAGAGAATTTATCTTGTAACTGCAAAAGAACTTCTCAAGGTAAAAATCTTCAAACCTGCCTTCTTTGACGAGGTCTCTTCCAGACACAATCATGTCATCAGTAGTTACTCTAACTGCTTCAAAAAATTCAGTAACATCTTCAATAAAGTTAACTCAATACCCTCCTGGAATAATATTATTCATGATATATGCGTAGTTGAATTAAACTTACTTAATTCGATCACCAACTCAAAAAAAATCGATCAGGGTCTTGTCTTCGAATCGCTTGTCTGCAAAAACTTAACCACTTCGTCGAAAATAACTTCAAAATATACGCAACGGATGGATCTATCAATTCGGACATCTCTAGTTTTTCAATTATTGAATACCCAAACTTACTTATAGGAAAATTCAAGGTTCTACAAGAACTATCATCCACTTTCATTGAACTTCTGGCCATAAGACAAGCAATCATCCATGCATCTGAAATTAAGCTGAAAAAATTTGTAGTTTTCTCTGACAGCAAATCTGCTCTAATTTTAATCAAGAACAAAGACCCATTCAATAAGTATGTCTTCGATATCTACAACCTTTTAAAAGACCCAAGTATTGAAAAATGCCACATCATCTGGATCCCAGGTCACTGCGGTTTTAGTATCAATGAAAAAGCTGACTTCCATGCTCGTCAAGCTAGGTTTGATGGTACAGTTCTGT